AATACAGTGAAATTTTATTCATGGTAGCTGATGAGCAGTCAGTTTTTTTCTGAAAATTTTTCTAGTTTGGAATTTATGAACCTTCAATATTAGGAAATTAATGAAAGAAACATTTAGCTTTGCTATGCTTAAGTTCTTATGAAAAATTTGCTATTCTTTTATTATTACTTCTGTAACAATTTTCAAATGGTTTAAAATATTTGAAAAACAACATTAAGAAGTCCAAGTAGTATTTGAAGATCATTATTTATTCCTAGCATATTGAGATTAATATGTAAATTTTCTGAGCCTCCATTGCATACTTATCAAGTTGCCCTTAGTTATAAAATTATTTATGACATCATATCTTATTTCTAGACTATCAACTTGCTGAAGAAATGCAACAAATACCAGTGAGGATACATAAAAACTCCCAACTCTTTTGTTTTGTGAAAATAAATGGATGTTTGGAACTAAATTGAGTATACATTTATGAGGCAGTCTTTTTTTTTTTGGAGGAGAGGAAAGTATGGCTGAATTGTACTTAATCTTCTCCACTACAGCCAATTTAGTTTTAAAATTCATTGAATTACACCATTAAGTAACAGTTAATATAATGCAATTACATTTGTCCTCTTATCAACAGGATCAAGCCAGAAATTCAGTTATATACCACTGACTTTTAAGAAAAGGATCTTAATAAAATGAGAGCACTAGCATTCCTTGAGGCTCTTTCTAGCTATGGAATTGGAATACAGGCTGCCAACGAATTAGAATATAGGCTGCCAACGAATACCTTACTATAGTCAGAGAACATTTTGAAAAGTGAATACCTTCAACTTTAAGAGGCATAGAAAATGGAATAAATTATCTTGACTTGAATTCTTGGCTCAAGTCAAAGTGAGATAGTAGTTAGAATTTCAATGGTGGGGTAACTTCTAAGGAATAAACATTAACTTGTATTGAACTTTAATAATGATGGTTACAGAGATGAAAAGCTGAATAAAGTGTTAAAATTACTAAGCCAAAGCACACTACCCCTGGATTTTGTACTCGCCATTTAAATTGATTTATTTATCTAGAGTTAATATGAAGAGTTCTGTGAGCCATGTGATTTCTTACTTATAGAAATTTGTTGACTTGGTTGACTCAGTCCAGTGATGCATGCGATTCATTTGAGCCATGTGGAAGTTGATGAATAGGAAATATGAAAATACCTAGCAACATCGTGATTAAAAAAAAATAACCTACCTAAATAAAAACTAATTAAAATTAAACAAAAACAAAGAGGGAAAAAAACTGTTGATACAGTTGCAACTATTGTTATAGCTTTCACTTAAGAAAAAAATGTACATAGTGTCAAAAAAGAAAATTAGAGTTACTGGAATGTTGATAAAGAGAAATCAACTTTGAAAATCTAAAATAATTTATCTTGACCATCTGTACTATCAATTTCTAAAAACTAAAAAGAAATTAAACACACATACACACACACACACACACAAAATAAAACACTTATGAACTGAGTCTCAGTATTGTAACTAATGTTTGTCTTGACCAATTTTAATATTTATCTTATAAGATAATGACAACTAGAGTACATTAGGCCTAAGGTAAAAAGTAGGAGTTACCAGCTTCAAAACAGCTACCATATGATGACCAGATCTCTCTCTCTTTCTTGCTCTCTCTCGCTCTTTCTCTCATTCTGGCTCTTGTTCTCTCTCACTCTTGTTCTCTCTAGCTTTCCTTTCCTTTATCCTCCCTAAGATAGACTATGGACTATTAAAAGTAAACTCATCATATAACATTGACCATCTACAAAATCAAGAGATCTAATAGTGGGATTGTTAGGTCATTAAAAGACAACAAAAAGAGAGTATTTCTGGAGTGGGGATTTCTTCAAGTGTCCACAATATCCCTAAAGTATACATTTAATATATATCTACTCCAATTGCCATATGATCCCACTTAAGTAGCATATGCTCACTTTCAAGATGTAAGGTTTCTTTTTCTTTTTTTTTTTCAACTTAATATAGAGTGAGTCAGTACAGGATAATTTTAATAGATACAAATGCTAGTTTATTAAAATAGTTCCTGTAATTGAGATGGGGATTGTTATGATAGAGAATCAGAAAGAACAATTCAGTTCATCTTCAGATATATAGACAAAAATCTTCGCTAAAAAATAAAATTAACTCTATCATAGAAATATTTTATTTAATAGGATAAAAAGGTGAAACTTGGGACTTAACATCACGGTGTCAATATACTTCATTAATAAGATTTTGGTTGTTTTTTTAATCATAACCCAGGACTATATTTTTTTAGAGAGAGGGAAAGAGAGAGAGGGAGAGAGACAGAGAGAGAGAGAGAGAGAGAGAGAGAGAGAGAGAGAGAGAGAGAGAGAGATGAGAGAGAGGAGAGAGATGAGAGATTAACATTGATTGGTTGCCTCCTGTCATGCTCCCTGAAAGAAGAATCAAATCCGTATGGGTGGATGCTCCAACCAACTGAACCAGCTGGCCAGAGCTTAATCACTTGAACTGTAACTTGGACTATTTTTGAGGGTGTGACAATATTATGCAAAAGAAATACCGTATCCCAGAGGGAAAAATCAAATTATAGTTTTAAAAACTCATTACCAGTCATTAATAATGAACTCTAGCTAAACAATAACAGGTGTTCCACTAATCCCCAACAGAAGCAGATGGAAGCACAAATGTTTTCTAAATAGTGGATACGTGCAGAGCAATAAACTTGGCAGGAATTGTTTTATTCTCCAATTGTCAGTCAAAGTCAAAGTCTTATCACTTGCATTTTCTCAAATTAATAAGCCCAGATTAAATCTTACTTCTCATTTCTTACTTTTCAAAATACAAGCCATATTTTTTGCTTGCTAACTCTATCTTGTGAGTTATCTCACCAACAAAGACAGTATTATTCATCTTCCTCCTGTACATTTATGAAGATCTATATTATTTGTTACATGAAACAATGGGCGTGCTATACCATACAGGTTTTCCTTCTCCAGATTCTTCCATTCCATGCCTCGCCTCACAAGAAATACTGATCTTCATATTCTTTAATTTTGTATACATTACAGCAACAAACCTTCAAAAGTATCAATGTACGTGGATGAAATAAATTAAGAAGACAATTGGAAAGTCAATGAATGGTTTTTGGAAATCTGTAACAATTCAGAATTATTTTTAGGAGTTAAGATATAGTAGTACTACAGATCTGAACTCATGGCTGTTCAGAGAATGTTCACATGTGACTTTAGAAGGACTACCCCTATATTGTCCATAACTAAATTCTACTTAACTTTTGCAGAGATGGTTTACTGTCCTTCTAACCCTAATCTGTTGTTAAATTTTCAGAAAGAAATGATTGGCAGCATGCCTATTAAGCTATTAGTATCTCTCACTGAAGTGGGCAGCAAACATGTCATCTAAAAGTGAATTAATGGTGTTTATAGACCTATACTTGTCAATGTTGAGAAACCCTCTTTATTAGGACCCTCACCCAAATAGGCAGAGATAAAATGAATGAATTAAAAGAATACGGTCATAGTACCATTTTGTTGTATATCTACTCAATGCTTTGTCAACAATTCTGCAAGGTTGTTACTGTGATCACAATTTAAAATGTATGAACACTAAAGATCAGGTGGAATTCAATGATTTGTTCAAGGTCCAATGTTAGAAAAGGAGGGTGTCAAGAATTATGTCTATATTTGTGTCTAAAAGCCTCTGTTTTCACTACATTAAACTATCTTCCTAAATGTTTCCATTTACATTTATTGTAATACAATACACAAAGGTTAACATTAATCTTTCTACTAAAAGAGTCAACATATTTTTCAGTATTTTCCCTCTCATTTGAGTTTCTAATTCATTAAGAAAGTAAAGAAAAATAAGAAGATGAAGAGGGGGAGGAGGAGGAAGAGGAAATCTACTTGAATATGTTATTAGAATTAACTAACTTTTCCTGAGAGGCAAAGTATATTTGTTTTAGATATGATACATCTTTTTGCCAATATATGCATAACTTATGATACATTTTAGAAAGTTTTCCACAAAAATACTTGAGAAACCAAGATATAGTTTTTGTCTTAAATAGTCTGCTTCCATTATGGTAAGGTATTTTAGCGCCTTCCTTAATAATACCAACTTCAGAGAAATGTTTCCCCAAACATTAATATGGTACCCTGGTACCATCAATTTTTAAATCTGCAGAAGGCATAGCACAAGGCAAGTCTCCTTTGACTTGGGGTGGTGAAAACACAATACAATGTACAGATGATGTATTATAGAATTGCACACCTGAAACATACACATTTTTAAACCAATGTCACACCAATATATTGAATAAATAAGTTTTAAAAAGACATAGCACAAGCAATCAAGTTATTCCTTCTTAATTAAGATGTTAATAAAGAACTCCTTGTTACATTCTGGGTAACAAGGATAGAAGAGATGATAGGTAAATTTTCTTAAGTAAAAAATGTACTTCCTCATCGCATTGACTAATAACTCCAAGGTTGACTTTCTCCTTCAGTAGTTCTCTGGAGCAACTAAGCCAAGTTCACATGTGAGTGAGAAAATCAGTTTTGAAAACAAAGATCAAATATTTAAAATGTGATTGATTTTAATATGACTTTTCTGAACTACTAAATAAAAATAAATAGTTTCATTGTTGGAGGTCCTTTATTCTAAATTTACCACAAGTAAAACAAGATGATTCACCTCTTCCCTCCAAGATATTATTAAAGATATTAGCATTTTTATATGAAGATATTAGTAAATTTTTAGTTTTCAGCTAACTTCATTTATGATAGGCCATGCAGTAATACAAAGTAAAATTAAAGGTCCTAATGCAAGTTATTACTTCTTTTTATGGTTTTAGTCAGATCTACACACGCATTATGCAATATAAAAAAAATACACTTTAGTACATAAAAAAGCAGACTAGAAACAAAGACTATTAAAACAGACAAGTATAAGATTTGTTCGGAATACCTGGTTTTAAATCTCCATGGACAAACATGTCAATCATATATCGACAGAATGCATACTGATCTGACAAGAGTAGAAAGAAAAAAGAACAATGAAAAAATGTCATCAACACCTTTCTTTTTTCTAGGGAGACATGGTTTAACAAAAACAAACAAAATAGCTCAATTCTATTTTAGTTACTACAATTCTGTGAAGGAATAATTTGCACTTATATGAACACACTGGGGGATAAAAAGACATAATAAACATACTGTTCCATTTATTCTATACAAAAAGAATAACTTGAAAAAAATTGAAACAGACTGGTTTAGGGTATCATTATAGTGTTGTTTTTAAAATCAAAACCTCTTTGATCAATTTTATTACAGAAACCATCATATTAAAGCAATCTTTCTCATTGTCCATGTTCTCAAAAATGAAACAGAAGTTTTACAAGAGGAAATTGTTTTCAACTTAGAATGTTTTACCAAATATTCACTCCCAGACAATTCACTTCTGCTAATTGTCTAAATGGAGCAGCAGAGAATTGTCTGGAAAAGGCAAGCAGGAGAACTAACCCCTTTGCAATCTGTGAGGGGTCCTCTGCATTGAAATGCTCTTCATTTAGGAGCAAATCAGTAAGGGAAGACTTACAGAACCAAATAATATCACTGTTAAGCTAATTAATTCAGTAATTTTTAATATAAGGGCATTTTATAATCTTGAATGGTCTAATAGCCTATGGAAGAAGTAATAAAGAGAAAAGCATAGGATTTGAAAATTTGGAGCAGGCTTTGTTTAAATGATTTTAGAAGTTTGTTTTCTATTCCTTCTAAATCAAATACATTGCACTGAACTTTAAATTCTTAGGAAAGTTTAGATTCTGATGAGGTCATTCCCACCCAAATCTCAGTTGATGAATCATTCTATAAGTTTTACCATATCTTCTTTCAAGTTTGCATATTGTGAAATGAATCTTGTTCAAGATGATTTACATTTCATGTTTCTAAACAGGCATCTTATCCAACAAATCCAAAGGCAGCTTTAGGACCAAGAGAGTTTATTGAATATACACAACATGATACATCCTTAAGTGCTCCAAATTATGTATAGCAAGCATGAAATAATAAAACTTGTTACTACAAAAATACACATAGAAGGACTTCAGTAAATCTCATTCTTTTTAAAGTATTATCAGTATTAAGTATTTCATTTTATTATGAATCTAACAAATATTTGAAAAAATAATAAATGCAATTATTGCAGCTATAGAAATACAAATTTTTGTTAATATCTAAATATGAATAGGCCAAAATTATTAGTTTTCAAAAATTTGCGCGTATTTTGACTGTTGTATTGGAGCACACTTTCACACAGGTGAGGTGTGGAGGGGGAGGGAGGCTAGTTGTCAGATCAGTTCAGGAATCTGTTTGTTCCTGGACTCACTGAGAGTAATGGCCAAGCTTTCAGAGCCCGAGACCTGGAAACCCTCTGGTACAGAAGGGAAGTAAGATTAAGGTAGAGAGCATTTCTCTTTTCCGGACATAACTTCTTCCTGAGAAAAATTCTACCATGGGCAATTTGGCTCTAAGATACAGCTAAAGCTTATTTCCTTTAAAGAGTAAATCTGAGATTGGGCAAATGTGGGCTTCCTGAAATGATTGCTTTGCCCTTTGTTGCAGTAGCGGAAGTGACTGGAATCTTTTTAGATGTGTCCTTCCTGCAATTCAGAAGTAGTTCTCTAAGGGCAATATCTATATTGAAAAGATGGAAAATTTGTTCCAATCAGATTTCTGGGTCCCATCACCCCAAACATTATAATCCCATGGGTCTGGATGCAAGGAACATACATTTTTATTTTAGCAAAACCACTCAGAAGAGTTTTATTAGAGCACACTTCAAGAATCGCTGATCTAAAAATCTCTCTTTTCCACAATGATTTCTAGTGACATTACAGCTTTTGCAACACAATGAAGAATGCATGTCCTATATTTAGAGTGGAGAAGCTACTTGGGATGTGAAGGATTCAACAGCCCTCATAAATGAAATACTGCTCTCTGCTCCAAGATGTGGTGGGATATTGAAGAGTGTACTGAAATAAGTCTTTATGCTTCAAAGTTTTCCTTTTGGTGACAATGTGAAAAGCCAATGTTAAATTATTACCCAAGTAAAGTGCTTATATAGTATTTATTACACCACGTATTTTATGGATCCAAAAGTCATTCATTTAATTAATGCACCAATAGTCCTAGGAGCTTCGAATTTGAAAAAGAAAATCTCTTTTACGTTCTAAAAATGTTTATTTTTTAATAAAGAAAATTATTTGAGTTACAAAACTTAGGCGGTTTCTGTTATATTTAAAATTTGTTATGATCCTGCCTTCTAATGGCACCAACGTATCAATAGGGGCATGAGAAATATATTTTTAGGATACTTTAAATTAGGCATTTTCAATATTTTAAATTCGATGCCTATTTCCGCCGGTCTTCAGTGTTGAACTTTTTAACAATGAGAATTCTAGGCAATTATATTTGGGGCAGTCCCCAGTGTATCTCCTTCACCTGTCTCAGAATAGAGCAAAACCAGGATCTTTCAACTCTGAAAGATTTATTTTATACAAATGTTTTTAAACACAACTCAAATTTTAAATAGAAAAAAATTTTCCTATAGAAAACCTGAACTGTCTATCATTCAAACTTAGTCATTAATAATTCACATAAGTTAATTTCACATTTGATCACTCCTTCCCCCCCCCCCTCAAATGAATATCCTTCTAGGGATAACACACACTGCCCATTTGTTTCTCTCCTTGATTTTCAGGGTGCAATGATGGCTGTCACTCAGCTGGTGCCTTGTCCAGTTCCCTGCAGAGTGGCAACTGAGAGAAAATGCATTCTGGGTGCAGAATGTCAGCAGAAAGAAAATTTTTAAAAACTCTAATGAGGATGGGCACACAAGCTTTGTGCTCTATAGCAGATTCACATTAGCTATACTTTGTCTTCCTGTCACAAATATTTAGATAGTCATTAAAAAAGGAAAGAAGGAAGAAAGGAAGGAAGGGAGAGAAGAAGGGTGGGAGTGGGGAGGGAGGGAGGGAGGGAGGGAGGGAGGGAGGGAAAGAATGAGCAAACTGTGGGGAGGTTTGATCTTTCCTTCCCAGCGGATTTGCCACAGACTATCAAAAATCAGGGAGCAATGCCTGCTCATATCAACCCTTCTTACCCTACTTTAAATAGGTTAAGATTGGTACATAAAGAGTAGGTTATACCACAGTAGTTTGTGGTAGGTATGTACATACTTATGAATCTTATTCCCAATGCTTTAAGTAGGAATATATTGCTTATATATTTAATAATAAGAATAACTACAAATGAATATGCAGGTATATGCATGTATATTATACAGGGGTAGGCAAAGTTAGTTTTATAGTCATGAGTACGCAAAACACAGAGTTTATTCTTGTATTATTTATTATTGTTTTGTTTATTTGTATTGCAACTATACTTTTGCCCACCCTGTATAATTAAATAATTGTCAGTAAGTATGTGTACTCCATGTAAAAATATCTTTCCATGAGTAAAAAACCTGTGGGCCTTATTTATTAAGAAAGAATTATTTAGAAGTTTGTATGAAAAGAATAACTCAAATTAATTAGGCCTAATTTAAGCTAAGGCAATAAATATACCCTTACCCAAAAGAGAACTATCTCAATATTTTCACTAAATCAGCAGGTCCAGAGTCTCAAAATCAAAGCCACCTCACAGATTATTTAAAAAACACTGTCTTTGTTATGTTTACCTGAAACGATTATGTGATTAGTTTTTATAAATAAATACTCTTAAAATTTTGCTTACTTAAAAAACACACATTTATGTGTCTGGCCAGATATTAGAAGTTAAAGTTTTGATGACTTACCTAATGAAACATTTATTTAATTGATGGAAGCAGGTCTCAATAAGGGGCTTTACTTTAGCAAATGCACTTGTTTAGCTTATAAAATAATATTTGTGGTTTTGCTTCTAACATTAAGTAAAATTTGAATGTCCTTTTAATAGATAAGTAGCTCTTCAATAAAAACAGTAGAATGAGCCCTAACCGGTTTGGCTCAGTGGGTAGAGTGTCAGCCTGCAGACTCAAGGGTCCCAGGTTCGATTCCAGTCAAGGGCATGTGCGTTGGTTGCAGGTGAATCCCCTGTGGGGAGTGTGCAGGAGAGGAGGCACCTGATTGATGTTTCTTCTCATTGATGTTTCTAACTCTCCCTCTCCCTTCCTCTCTGTGAAAAATCAATAAAAATATTTTTAAAACAAACAAAAAAACAACAGAATGAAAGTGAAAATGGTAATATAATGTATATTTAATAATCCTTTTTATTGATGGAAGTAAAATACAGGTGACAAGAAAAATATATATTATTTGAAAATGTTCTAGGGATATGTCTCTATCAGTAATATAAGTCCCTGCCCTGTTGGCATGGCTCAATGGTTGAGCGTTGACCAGAAGGTCACAGTTCAATTCCTCGTCAGGGCACATGCCTGGGTTGCGGGCTTGATCCCCAGTAGTGAGGCATGCAGGAGGTAGCCAATCAGTGATTCTCTCTCATCATTGATATTCCTTTATCTTTTCCCCTCTCCTTTCCTCTCTGAAATCAATAATAATAAATAATAATTCTATATATCAAAAGAATAATATGCAATCAGAGACCCAATCAGAGCTGGCTGGCTAGACCTCACCAATGCATGAATTTGTACACCTGGCCTCTAGTAATAATATATGTTTCATCCAAAAACCAAATATGCCAAACATGAACATTAGAAGTATATTCATATTTCTATAGTTAGGTTCTTAGCTGGATACTTGGTATGTTTCAGCAGGTTATTTTCTTTTTTTAAAAGAAAATTTAAAATTTAAAGTATTTTAGTGGATTGATAACCATTGTAAATAAACATATAATAAATCAGAAGATTAATTTTCCTACTTTCTATCACAATAAAATAATCTATTCAAAATATTTTATCTCTATTTACTACAAATTTCATTCTGGTCAAGGGCACATGCCCAGGTTGGGAGCTTGGTCCCCAGTAGGGAGAGTGCAGGAGGCAGCCAATCAATGATTTGCTCTCATCATTGATGTTTCTATCTACCTCCTTCTCTCCTTTTCTTCCTGAAGTCAATAAAAATATATATATTTTAAAAATTATGTGGCTAACTAAAAAAGAAATTACTTTTTTAACTTTTACCTTTTATTACTTTTTTTCTTTTTCCCTTTAATTTTTTAATATAAATCAAAGTTTATAAATATTGCTTATAAATTCAGGGGAAATGTGGTTTAAAAGTAAATGTAAGAATAGATTGCAAAGACAAAAATCATATATCTTGCTTACATGTGGAATCTACAAAAAAAGCGTGGAATACAAATTTTGTATCTTACACCTTATAATGGGGAAAATATTTTCAATATCACCATTCAAATTACAGCAGGGAAAGTAGGGAAGTATGGGGGAGATAAGAGATCAACCTAAGGACTTTTATGCATGCATATAAGCATAACCAATGGACGTAAAACTCTAGGGAGGGAGGGCATGAATGGTCGTGGGGAGGCAATGGTAAGATATGTACACATATAATACCTTAATAAAAAAATGAAAAAAAAGTTGTAAAATATTTTAATGACAATATTCCAGAAGCCACTTCTTAATTTTAGTCCTCAAATAAAATTATTCAAAACTACAGGAGCACAGAGAAATGTTATTTTGCAATAATCCTGAGAAATGTGTGCAGGAATAGTCCCTACAGAGCAGATCCCACATGCTAGATGGGGAATCTCTGTTGTGTAGCAGATGAAGCCAGGAATAGACTTAGGGAAGGACAGATTCAACAAGGGACAGAAATGTGAGTCAATGGGCCCTTAGCTGCCCTCTTAAAACTCCATCATTTTACCTTTACGTAGCACCTTTCCTTAAAGAATTTCAGGTGTATATTTCACCTCCATTTAAATGCTTTACTAGCATTTCTATCAGTAGGGATGTCAGTTTACCTTCAATCTCACTGAAGAACTATACAATATGTCAGATAAAGAGCTTTTCAAAGTCATACACTTAATAATAGAAGTTGGCAAAGAACCCTGAGAGTTCTTCCAAACCTTTCTGCCTATAAAATTAAATGATTTTAATAACTTAATGTATATTCTAAATCATATGCTCTTACAGAGGCAAAAGAAATATATGAATACTTTTTCTATATAATTGAACATACACCCCTTAAATTACTCCTTAAGAATTATTATTTTTCTTGGGCTGTTTTTCTTCAAAGAGTAGAGCACCTACAATGTTTGCTCCACATCTCTTAACTTGAGAACTCTCTTAACTTGAGAATTCAACATGTATCACCAACCTTTAAAGCACTTCACATACTAACTCAAATTCTCTTTTAAAAACACTTCAAAGTGCTTCTTTAGATATGTAGACACATTTGGGTATTTCTAGAAATAAATTTTAATCTCCAATTTATTATATTTCTTTCCAGGTATATTTACTTATACAAATCTTTTTCCCCATTTGATATCTGATCTCAGTCTTTTTCAGATTTTAATTTCACTGTATCTGCTTCTTGCCCAATACTCTCTTACAACCTCCAGCCGCCATGTCTGAATGTTTACCTTTCTGTTCATGCTTGGGCACAGCTACAGCCTCTTTCTCATCCTTCCCTTTGGGCTTAGGTGAGGTTTTCTGTGCTTCTTTTCCTTTCGCAGCTGATTGCTTCGCTTTCTCCTGCTTCCCACCTTTCGGTTCCTTTTTAGTCTTTACTTCAGTCTTTTCTTTAGTCTTAGTTTTCTTCTCTTCTGTATAAGTTTTTAAAAAGTTGGTTTATTTTTGTTCACTTACCAACACAGCATTTCATATTTCACTGGTTGTTAAGAACAATTTAAAAAGAAAAAGAAAAAAAAAACAATAGAAAAATAGTATCTCTGAGATAAATACTTGACACAAATGCCATTATCTGACTTTTACAGCACTTTGGGAGTGCCATGTTAGAGTAGTAAAACAAAGGACTCTTTCTTAATTTGCACATGAACACATTCTTTTTTAAGTAGTTAGGAATTTAGTATATCAAGGAGGTATTGCAAATATGCAGGGGATGTGTATACAGGTATGTTCAATGAAAAGCAATGTTCAAACCAAAAAGCCCAATAAAAGAGATCATACACAAAAATAACCTCAAAATGGATAAAGGACTTAAATGTAAGATGGGAAACCATAAAAATACTAGAGAAATCCACAAGCAGCAAAATCTCAAATAGATGCCAAAGCAATATCTTCACTGATACAGCTCCTAGGGCAATGGAAACCAAAGAGAAAATAAACAAATAGGACTACATCAAAATAAAAAGCTTCTCTATAGAAAAAGAAACCATGAACAAAACAACAAGAAAGCTCACTGCATGGGAGAACATATTTGCCAATGTTATAATCAATAAGGGTTTAATCTCCAACATTTACAGGGAACTCATACACCTTGACAAAAGGAAGATAATCCAATCAAAAAATGGGAAAAGGACCTAAATAGACACTTTTCAAAATAAGAAGGAAGGAAGGCCAAGAGGCATATGAAAACATGCTCAAAGTCACTAATCATCTAAGAGATGCAAATCATCTCATAACCCTCAAAATGGCTATCATCAACAAATGACAAGTGCTAGGGAGGATGAAAATAAAAAGGAACCCTTGTGCACTGCTGGTGGGAATGCAGACTGTTGCAGCCACTGTGGAAAACAGTATGGAGTTTCCTCAAAAAACTAAAGATGGAACTCCCACTTAACCCAGTGATCCCACTTCTAGGAATATATCCCAAGAAACTAGAAATTACCAATCAGAAAGGATATATGCACCCCTATGTTCACAATTTACAAAAGCTAGGATTTGGAATCAGCCTAAGTGCCCATTGGCAGATGAGTAGATTAAAAAACTTTGGTACATGCACACAATGGAATACTATGCTGATGTAAAAAGGAAGGAACTCCTACCATTTGCAACAGCATGGATGGAGCTGGAGAGCATTATGGTAAGTGAAATAAGTCAGTCAGAGAAAGATAAATATCACATGATCTCACTCATTTGTAGATTATAATGAACAACATAAAATGATGAACAAAAACAGATCCAGAGACAGAGAAGCATCTATCAGATGCTCAAACCTCAGAGGGAAGGTAGGGGAGGGTGGGGGTAAGAAGGAAAGATCAACCAAAGGACTTTTATGCATGCATATAAGCATAACCAATGGACACAGAAAACAGGGGTTGAGAGTGAGGGCAGGATTGAGGGGCCAATGGGGGGATAAGGACACATTTGTAATACCTTAACCAATAAAGGGAAAAAAAGAGAGATCAGGTAATTTTGTTTCACAACTCATTATCTTAACAGTGTTCAAGAGACTGAACTATCCACATAGCATTTTTTAGATGTAAAATTACTTGTAATGATGATGGCTAAAAAGGATAAAACAATAAAATTCATTAAAGAATGACTCAGATATTCAGTTTTTAGTACCTTGACTTTAAAGAGACATAAAGAGAGCAGAAATTAATATATTAGCTCCTGTAAATCTTAAGTCAGAAATAATTATATTGACTTTTAAGCACTTAAATGTATCTCAATAGACAGAAAAGGCTACAAATTAGAATATGTATGAATATATATTAATTATAATATATACACATATTTTATATACAAACATATTTTTAATGTGCTATTATGTGTGTCTGGAGGAAGAAAACTGCGAATGTGAAATAATCATTCTGTGACTCTTTCAATTATTTTTTAAAGAGCAGTAATAATATAGCACACATTTGTAAAAAATTGTTTATAATAGATACAGCATATTGGACATCATTTATTGTAAGAGATCATACATAATCACTAGACATCAAAATAAGTCTACTGCAATGTAATTTATCAATGCAATGGCTAGTTTTTATTGTCACTCACGTTGAAGAATTTGATGAAAATATTATAATCAAGTTTCTTGACGTTGAAGAATTTGATGAAAATATTATAATCAAGTTTCTTGACTTTAGTACACTAAACAATGATTTGGAATTAAGACAAAATAATATTGTAAAGTCCAGTGAAGAACAAAGAGAAGAATGAAAATGATAATGCCTAATATTTACAAAACCAGAATGGTTTTGGGTATTTCATTTTCTTAAATGGACCAGCATCTCTCAGAGCTCCATTCCTCAGAAACTTTACAGGGAGATGCTGATACTGTGTTAGGAACAGGGGATATTCCTATGATCAAATAAATTTGCAATCACAAAGTTAAGCCGGTTTCTTTAAAACTTTCTCAATGCTGAAGTGTCTTAAGCATCTTCAAGGAAGGGAGTTACATCAAGCTCTCTTTTCCAAGTTACCCGACCTTTAAAAATCTCATTGAAAATCATTCAATTGCCCCACAAACTTCTAATGTCTTTGTGACTCCTGTGACTATTCAATTGTAGATTTTCTTTTACTCCTTTAAACCATTTCTAAATCTCCTTTGTTAGTTTCTGCTCTTTCCTACCACAGACTCATTTCAATGACTGAAACCATCAGCTCTCTGCAAAACACTTTAAATCAAAATCACTCCAGAAGCCCACAACAAACATCCAGTAGTTTCTGCCTGGGGAGAAAGTTCCACTCAGATGGCCAATAGCATTCAAGACATACAACTCCTATATATTCACCTAACAAATCCCACCAGAGAGCTCATCGTGACCTGGACTCAGAGCTAGTTTCTGGAGCTCTGATGATCAGCAGAATAATCTTATCTGAAGCATGTTTAGAAGAGTATTTAAAACCATGCCATCTCAAGCCCGATCCTATCTCTCTTTGCATAGCATTTTCCCAACAGTTTCTTCTTCCACTGGACTGCTTTCTTTTTCTTGAATATCTCCTGTATTTTCCATGTGTCAAACATTGCTACAAAGCATTCTCGATATTTCCCATGTTTCCCCCATAGATGAATTCCTTTGTGTTAAATTCATATACAAGTGGCGTTGCCACTATTTATTAATCATTAGTTCACGTGAGCTTCAACCAAAATGGCATATGCAATGGAGAACCAAAATGAGAATCAGACTTTCTTTCATCCATCTTAACTTCAATAAAATGATATTTGGTTATCTCATTGAAAAAATTTAGTAAAATATATATCTGTCTCAAATACCTAATTATTGATATTATATAAATAAACACATTAAATTTTGAAAACAGATTACAATTTTCATGTAAATGATTCATTCATCCATTGAAAATGGTGCAATGAGATTTCTAAACTATGGTGATCGCATAAAACCTATATTTTAATAGTTCATATTGAACTATCAATTAAATTTTATATTTTCCTAATATCAAACCACTGGTAGACAAATTTGGCATAGTAAAGTTAATACATACATTCCTCCAAAATAGTTTACATTGATCATGTATTTGATTTTGGGGGGTTTAGTATTAAGAACTTGGGGCTTCAATTGTTAAAATATTAATGAAAAATTATGATTTGCTTTTTCTTCATAAAAAAAATCCTGAATTAAAATCTTCTAAAAAATCAAACTCAATGTGTGTAATACTGGCCAAAAGCTATAAACCTTATTGTCATAGTAACAAATTACCTAAAACATCTAATTGAAACAACATTCATGTAATATCTCCTGGTTTTCATGGTTCAAAAGTATTGGCACCATGTGGCTCAATTACATTCTCTTTTTAGTGTCCACAAGGCCAAAATCAAGTTATTAACAGAGTGGCTTCTCTTATTAGAGGCTCTGGGAGGAATGGGCTTTTCCACGCATTCATTGTGTTGTAGAATTTTTTTCACACTTCCCATGAGGCCTCCTCCATTTATTTTTTATTTATTTTTATTATTATTATTATTATTTTTTTTTTATCTAAAGGATGTTTAGGAGAGCAATAAAGGTCAAGTTCTTCTGACACTTCAAATCTCTCTCTTTTGGCCCTTCTCTAATGTTTTTAAAAGTTCATGAAATTACATTGAGGTCAATGGCTAATATAGGAAAATTTCTGTATTTTATATGAATTTTAACTACTTCTGCAAACTCCTTTCTGCTACATATTGTAACATAGACAGTGGGATAACATAAGGGATGAAAGGCATGGGGTCCAAAACTCTGCCTACACATATGGGAAAGTTCTTTATTCTCCTCTCAAATTTTGAGGTACTCAATTGTTTTATGTATTCAGTTTTATTGCTCTTTAAATATTAAATTTAAAGTGTAAGGCCAAATCAATGTTTTATGTAAAGAAAACTCTGAATGTTTTCAATCATCCAGTTGTTACCCAAAATGTAAACTTTAACAGAAAAAGAATTTAGTTATGAAAATAATCAAGAGAAAAGTTACCTTTTGCCATTGACTTTGTTTCTGGTTTTTCTTTTTTCTCAACTTTTTCCTTGTGAGTTGCTTAAACAGAAAATTTTATATTAGTACATACTTTTAATAGATTTTAAAACTAAGTTTTTTCTTTATCTCAGACTTATAACCAACAAAATAATGAACTATTTCAAAGATTTATGACTTTAATGAGCTAACTCAGAAATAAAGAGATACCAATGTATTTGAATAGACTCCAATTTTAAAGACTTGGAGTTAAGACTGAGATAGCATTTTGAATGCTAGTCTCAATCTCCTTTTTACTACTCCCAACAGGTAAAGTTTTTAACACAAACTGACTTTATAAGAATTTGTTGAAAGATATATAATTTTACTATGGAGTACTTTTGGATTAACAAAAAGAAATATTTAAATCAGGACTAGAGCTTTGATTAAGCACAGTATTTCTGGACAAGGCCACCACTGAATAATAGGTTTCACTGCATGCAACTGTCTTATGCTTTGGCAAGATGTTTAGCTGCTCTGGTAGCTGCTTCCCAAAGGCTCTCCACTCCAATGACACTTTGATGACCAAAACTTTTACCAAAAACTATCAAGGGACAGCAACTTTGGTAGATTACTATCCATAAAAATTAATCACATAAAACTACTAAGTACAACTTTTTAATTGAATAGTATTAAACATGATACCTGAAACATTCCTTCACATTGTCTATGTAATAAATTAATAAGACAATATGAATTTATATTAGAATATTAACTTAAATTATACTTACACAGACAGGTAAAACCTTGTGTCACAAAATTTAAGTAAAGGAGTTTTGAGAAGTCCAACAGAATGTGCAAATTATTTTTGTAGTTCAGATACATTAAACTGTATGGTTTGGAGTTTCCCAAATCACCATAGATTCCTCAATATATACTATTTATTGAAGAAAATAATAAGAATTAAGTCTATCATAGAAAATTAAATGATAACATAGATTCCTAAATATCATAAAGGATTCTAGCAAAGGGAATTATCAGATAACAAGATAATTTGGCAATCTATGCATGCTGTGGATCTATAAATCAACGAAATCTAACCCAAATATCCTAGGCATAATTCACTTTGAAACAATAGCAAAAAAAAAAAACCCTATAATTTCTTTCACATCATACATTAAAATGGATTTTTGATGAATTAAAGTGAAATGTGAAAGTTTTTAAAACTTGGGTAAAATATTAACTATTGATTTAATCTGTGGAAAAAGATTGAAAAGCAGAAATACCAAAAGTAATATTAACCTATCCAGCTGCATGCAAATTTAGAAATATAAACACACATATTCACATTTCATATATATTCCCACAGACAGACACCCTTACATTAACTACAAAACTGGAAAAAAATATTGAAAAGTGACAGACCAAGGATATATACCCAAATGACATGCACACATATTATCAGGAGAAATAGGTAATGAGTACTTGTAATTACACCATAAATATAAATTGCTAAAGTTCATACTTAACCCCTTGAATCTATAGATAACAAGCAGTTAACGTGAAAAAAATATCTCTATTTAAATGCAGTTTTTTTTAAGAGAATGAGGAAAGTATCTATTTACTGATATTGAAAGTTCTCTAGATAATATTGATAAATTATAAAAGTCAGAAATGAGGACATGGTAAATTTTGTGTGGAAAATATGGAGAAACAAATTATATTGTTTTATAAATTCATGATGAAGCTCTGAAAGACACACATATAAAAGTATTTTTACTATGTATATGTATAGATAGGATTGAATAGGAACCTGGAGGGTGGGAATAAGGCAGGAAGCTTTTAACAATGTTTTTTTACATTAAATAATGAATCTACATTGCATATTCTAAACAAATAAGATAAAAAATAAAAATTTAATAAGTCTGGTCTAATAGGTAATAGAAGTAGCAATAGAGTTCAAGGATCTTAAGCATTTCATTTTCTTCAACCCAGAAATTATTCTTTTTTGATTCAATTATAATAAAATTATCATAATATAAATAAATTTATGATAATATAAAATCTGATGTAAAGAAGAGGCCAAACAGGAAGGAACCAATGTCTAAAAACAGCAATAAGAAAAACACTATACCTTTCTTTTCAGGTTTCTCTTTTTCTTTTACTTTGTCTTTTTCTCTATGGGTAACTGGAAAGAAACAGACAATACTTTTTACTTAAGTAAACAGAATAAATGATGAGATGTTTACATGGCAGTCTTTGATGTCAAAAACTTACTTTCTGCCTTTAGAAATCTTTCTTTAATTGGCATGAAGCTTTATAGAGAGGTTAAACCATTAAGATAATTATAGATTTATTTACTTCTATTTTTACTTTATAACAAAACTAGGTCGAGTTGCAAAGAAAAGAATACCACTCAGCTTTTCCAAAATTTCAAGTTTAATTTAATTAAATGAAAAAGATTTAAAATTTCTTATACCATATATCAAAGGAGCCCAGCTCCATACTGGAGAAATGCCAAAAATATGAGCATAAAAATTCAGGAGATAATATTTTGCAACTGAAGCAAAGTATAACCATCCTAAAGAGTACATGTTAATCTTCTCTAGAAACAATTCACAATGAAAGTTTTTGAGAATATAGTGAGATAAGACTAGGATGACACCGAATCCCTCCAAAGTAAACAAAATGTAATTTAATATGAACTGTGATCCAATTAATTAATATAGTTAGGCTCTAATTTAAGACATAATCTTACCCCACAATGCAATCATACATCTTATTACTGGCACCTCCAATTATTTAAGATAGAAACATGGAACTCACCTAGGATTTGGCTTTTATTTTCCATTTTGTACATTTACCAAACTCTTTCATACCTGTTTAATATTCCTCTTACCCACCTTCTTTTATCCAATATTACATTTTCTTCCAATCATTTATTTACACAGAAATATAGAAAGAGCATCTGCCAAGTACTAAAGACCCTGCTAGACAAGACAGACTCCATGATTTCAACAAGCTAGTGGATGATAGAAGCTAAACAAATAATTATACAGATAGTTAATCAAAGCTAGTATAGCTGCTATGAAGAATATATATTTTCCTGTTGGCATGTCAGTGTGCACAATGAGACCCAATCTAGCCTGTGTATTTGGAGAAGGCCCCTTGGTAGGATTGACATTTACAGATACAAAAGATGAGAAAAAATTAAGCTAATAAGGGAGTGGAAGGAAAAAAAAGAGACAATTTCAAAAGTTGAAGTAGGATATCCTTTTTAGGCATATGATTACACATATGCTCTATAATAAAAGCCTAATTTGCTAAGTGTCCAGTCGTCCATTCAACCAATTAAAGCATAATATGCTAATGATATGCTAAGACTGCTTAACACTTGCTATGACATGCATTGATCACCAGGGAACAGATGCTTTGACCAGTAGGTTAGCTTGTGGCTGGGATCCAGCTGATCTAGAATGAGCAAGATGAGCCAGACATACCCTGGAGCCCTCCTGTGGTCACTCTCTAGCCCTGATCATGCACTGCTGGGGTCCCTTGGCCTAGCATGCACCCTCTCACAATCCAGGACCCCGCAGGGGATGTCAGAGACTCAGTTTTGGTTCAGTCTTAAAGGTCAGTCTGAGGGACCTCACAGGTGCACAAATTCATGCACTGGGCCTCTAGTTATTATAATCTCCTGTCTAGTTTCTTGAACCTTTAGATTTAGTTTTTATGTTCTCAGAGTAACCTTGATAACAGGAATATCTGATTATACCATTGACCAGTTAAAATATTACATCCCTCATTGCTTAGCATGGTATCTGTCACATAGTAGATGTTATATCCCCTTGAACTTTACATCCCATTATAACAAAACAGAGTTCCACAAGCTCACCGCACGCCCTCTTAATGCCTTTGCATCTCTCAACTGCTCATCTTTTACCTGGAATTTCCACATCCCCATGCCTTCACCTCTACAAAATGTTTTTTGACCCCTACTTATTTTATGCACCAACTATACCATGTGCATAATTCTATTTTAGCAAGTAAACAATAATACTGCAATCGTTCCTATATCTGACAACCCAGTAGGTGAAGTTTCTTTAGGGATTACTGTGTATTATTTTATTTTTGCATCTGTGCCTCATCATATGGTGTCTGTCACATAGTGAACTCCTAATAGATATTTTTGAATAAGTGAAATTCCAAACTATTACAAGAAGAGTTATTTTCATCTTTTACTACAATTCTATTAAAAGATGATGTGATATAGATATAATAAGTACGGTCTGCTTCCATCAGAAACCATTTTTACAACGTGTTAAAATTTTCTGAACTAATTAAAAGCCGGTGAGAAACAAAAGAAAAAATACATCCTAGAACATTATTTTTTTTTTCTTTCCACATTCAATGATTCTTTGAGGTGTTTATGGGTTACTAAATGCAATATAACTAGCTGACAAAATAAGGAGAGGACATCAGTATTCACACATGACCACAGATAGCTTAGTTCAGTTTCTTTGGATTACTATTAATTAAGCTGAAAAACCAAAATAAAATCTTGGCAAAAACAAAGCCTCTTTTAAAGTTTCTCTAGGGGAAACCTAGTTGGTGTGAGATAAGCTGTGCTTTCGGAACCCTGATTGGCACGGCCCCCAGGAGAACACCTAATCTGCCTCTCTGCCTCTGCGAAGGACCAGACCTCTCCCACCCCGGACAGCTGGTGGTCCACAGCACTAAAGGATTTTCTGGTTGATGCGTGCCCCGGTGCAAATGGGAGCATTCACACCAAATCAGAAGAGCGAGAGAGCTGCATTCAGACTCCAAGCAACTTCTGAATGTCTCTTTTCTCTCGCCCTGTGGGAGAATCTGGTTCCTCACGGTCTAAGTGGTCTAAGTTTTGATTTGCAGACACATTCCTGCATGCTGGCAAGACAGCCACTAAATCGTCTTGGACAGAAACTTCACGCTTTGGCAGGACTGAGCTCAAATACCAAGTTTTAAAATGTCTTTCATCGAAACAATACAATCATCAATGAAACTGCCTTCGTGGTGGCTCCAAAATGAACATCATTTGCTCCAGTGATTGCATTTTTTTGTGCATCTCTTTACTTGCAACCCCCAACTAGAAGTTTGCACGGGGAAGGAGAAAAAGGTACCCTCTTTTTCTGTCACCAGATCCCTTTGGCAGGCGACATCTTAGCGAGGCCAGTTTTAGCTCAGGGTAAAATAAGCTGGTTGCACCTGCTGGAGCTTAATTTGTTTGTCATCCTTATTTACAAGAAACAAAAGTCCCTTCAGTAGGCTGATAATTAAAAACAAATGGAGTCCACCAGTTGGAATGGCCCTGATGTTTGGCACCCGAGTTGGCATGGACCTGCTGTTCCTGCGCTTGCCCAGATTCTGACCTTTCCCTGACCAGAACATTCGGCTCAACTCAACTCTGAAGTGTGTCTCTCAAACTTCCCCATATGGTCCCTCTCCAGCACTCTGCAAGCTGTGCTCCGTGCTCTCACAGAGCTCGGCTCGGGCAACCTGCCAGGCAGCCTCTGTGTCCTTCTCTGAAGTGTATCCGAGCTCACAGTGCCCCTGACCTTGAGGCTCTTATCCAGCAAAGCCTTCTTAAGGGGCCTGGCCATAGGCACTTAGGGCCAGATCGTCAGAGCCCTCTGCTGATCTCTCTGCTCTTTTCAAAAATCAAAAGTTTTTGTGTCAAATTTGTTTTAAGTTTTATTTTGTATAGAATACTATATTCTTCAGTGGACAGTTAACAAATAAATTTAATAAACCAAAATTGGAATTCATACTTTACTTCAGAGCTACTGTATGGGATGAGTTTTGAGTGCTCAAATCAAAACAAATCAGATGGAAAAGCAGTGATCATTACATCTTCATGTTATAAAATACTTCAGGGAACGCGGTTAGCTGTAACAGATTTTGCTGATTTTTCTTTTAATTAATTTCAGGGCTTCTCAGCTTTCTGGTGTTTATCTTGTGGAAGCTATTAGCACTGAAGTGGTCTACAAATTTTAAGTATATCAAATTTTCAAATAGCTTCATAACTTTCATATATATCCATGCTTGCATTCATCTTTTATTTTAATGAAAGAAGAGCAGGATACAAATTCACTTTAAACCCCTTTAAAAATTCTGCTTTTGCCACCATTAAACGAAAATGCCAGATATACCTTTGGTTAGTGTATATGTCTCTGCGTGTGTTTCACGTTTTTTTTTTGTAACTAATTAGTACAATTTCCATTCTGTGCTCAGGCAAAATGATCTACACACTTTAAGCAATATGTAATGATGTCTTCCTGAGTATGGAAACTTTTCAAAGATTGCATTATTCATTCCTGCTACGGGAAGGATTTATCATTTTAAATTTAATATAAGCACCCCGCTTGAGAGCTGGTTGGAATGAGGAAGGTCAATTAGCCTGAATCTCTTTGTCCCTGGAGAAGAAAACACAGGCTCATAAGAGTCCCTTGAAGAATAGACTAGAAATATATATATCAGAGAGCTAAACCAGCATTCTCCCAAAACTTGGCTGCCTTGTATATTCCAAAATTATAAACTATGTACCAAGTGTGGTGATTGGATTCTCTAAGCATGTAATCTACAGTGTAGCCTATAATACCATATACACATCTTTTCCATAATAAAATAGCATTCATTTATGTATTATTAAAGTGAAGATTAGGCAAATTACCCCAAATTAAAAAGCTCATCTGATACATGTACATTAAATCACAAAACATAAATTTAAATTCCAAAATACGAGATTTACTCTAAAATCTGGTTTAATCGTATGGGTAACTTCCCCTTCACCCAGGGCTACGGAGCCAGTGAGCATCTAATCACTTCCTCCTCAGGGGAACAGTCACCATGGAGGTGACACACAGCTTTGTGTAGTCTTCTGTTCTCATTCCCCAGGCTTATTTTGCACCGTTGCCAGAGAGGAAAAGAAAATATATTTTGTACTCTAATGAGTCAATTATATACAGCTGAGAGAAGGCAAAAGGCAAAGTTTATACAAGCTGACTAAACTAATCTGTGGGCTTTGAAAGCATTTTTATAAAGGTCTATATGATATTTAGGTATATTTTAATGTCCTGTCTTTTTTGGCTTTTGAACCACAATCTTCAGCAAAATCCTATGCCAGCTTATGATTCCTGCCCTGTAATTGAT